ACACACACACGTAGGTAGTATGTGAGATAGAGAAGAACAAAAAATTTCTTTCATAAATCAAGCTGCTTCAGCAGTTTATGCATGATTAAATAACAAACAAATCTTAACAAACTTTACTTATATAAAAATTACGATTTTGTTTACATTTGTCATGTCACCAATATTAACATAGTATTAAATTAATGAATAATGAATATAATTTATTATCTTCTTTCATAACAGTCCATCCACATTTTTTTATAAAAACTAAAACAACACAATTCGCGCCAATAAATTAAGCAATCAGCACAGATCAATCGGCCGCTGCATTTCGATAATTCGAGGATTTTATACCGGGATTGGGTTCAACTGTGTCACAGAATTCCATCCCGGGATAATCCTTGTGACCGGATGGAACGGAAAGGCCGCCGGCGGCCACATTCAATCAACTCTTTTCACATTCTCTTTACCGACAGATATTTTTTTAATATTTTTTTTTATCGACTTCAAAAAGAAAAACTCTACGAAGACCTATTTTTTTTAGTATGTTATGCGATATCTCCATCATTTGAGGATCGATTTTAATGTTTCTTCTGTAAAAAATTATACATGATGATTATTTATTAAGAATTGATGATAACATATATCGAAACATATATTTTGATAGAAAAGGTGGCATTCAAAATTATAACTGGTCACCAACTCCAACTTAATTAAAAGTAATTATTTGAAAATGGAACACTTCGAATATAAATCATTGTAGATTTAAAACTAACCTAATCTGTCATCTGTTTTTAGTTTTGGCGCCATTTTTAATTGCGTATTATTTACACTTTCTTTGACAATAAATAAATTATCTAGCAAGTTATACGTAGCTGTTGTGCCATCAATAAAGTCAAAGTACTTATCTCAAGTATTTGCTTGCCTAATAGAGCTGACTAAACTGAAATTAGTGTCACAGTGTGGTGCGCGATAACTCAGAAACTATGCGTCGCTCAAACTATCTACTTACTACTACTTCAATACTCGAGTTACAAATAAAGGGAGCAGGTATTAATATATTATATTCTAACTATATCCCACAGGGGAGGGGGGATTGTTAAAAATGCGAACTACCAAGCCCATTGTTATCAATATTCCCAACCAGATCGACCTCCATATGGTCCTCCCTGGAAACCATCGTGCTGAATTCGAAGTGAATTTACCACGATGGGCTAACTGACCTGTTTTTCATTCTCACCTATCATCTCTCACTGGTGCCCCGCTAGTGTTTACCATTAGCGCAGGCGGGGTTACCATTCCATTATTATCCATAAAAAAAAATATATCTCATAGCTTTTTCTGCGTGAATCAGTACCTACAAGTATCCCATGTGCTTAGTTAGAATCTAACCTATTCGTGGTATTTTTATGCAACTTAAAATGGCAAAGAAGCTAACGGCCCACCTGATGGAAAATCGTAACCGTCGACTAATTACATGAGAAGTAGAATGGACATAACAGAGTATACTGTTTCGCCCATGAGATTCTCCATGCGCTACCATTCCTGAGGACTCAGATGTTTTTCTCTGTACCCTGTAAATTCACTGCTATATCTCACACTTTAAACCGCTTTTTTTATACAAAGTATCGTGTACCAAATTTCATTCAATCCGTTCAATAGTTTCTGCGTGACAATATCCACCCATCTTTACAAATATTCGCTTTTAATTAAATATATAATTAATATAATAGAAAGGATAGAACATTTTTGTTTGCATTATTGTAAATTATCTATATTGTTTTGTACTCTATGATGAACTATGAACTATGGATAAAACTACATGTTATGGAATTTGCCGGAACCTCATGACGCGATGTTATGTCTTCGTAATATTTTTTTAATGGATGATAATGGAATGGTAACCCCACACGTGCTATTGGTATACATTGGCGGGGCACCAGTGAGGGATGATAGGTGAGGATGTAGCAGGTCAGTTAGCCCATCGTAACGAATTTAATAGAATTGTTCATGATAGTTTCCAAGAGGAACCACGCGGAGGTCGATCTGATAGGGCATATTGTCAGCAATGACAAACTCCATTGCTAACAATCCCTTTCCCCCCTGTCTTCGTACATTGTAATTTCACTGTCATATCCTTATAGCTGTAATGGAAAATTGTACTTCATACCTCTACGGCGCCGAGCACGGGAAGTTTTGGATAATAACGACCGAATTCCCGGCAACGATTACAAGTTTGACGTGTAGACTACACGAGTATTGCCAGCATTATAAAGTGATAGCTAATAATTCGTCTACCTTTACTTACTTTTCTTTTTTTTTATACAACTTGAATGGCAAACAAGTTGACGTCCCACCTGATGAAAAGTGGTAACCGTCGCCTATAGACATGAGCAGTACCATGGACATAACAGAGTATACTGTTTCGCCCATGATACCCCCCATGCGTTGCCATTCCTGAGGACTCAGGTGTTATTCCTCTGTACCCAGTAAATTCACGCCATATCCTACCCTTCAAACCGAAACATAGCCATGCAAACACAACTGCTTCACGGTTGAAACACGAATGGGACAGAGGTACCCAAGCAATCGATTTTGTACAAAGTCTCTCTCTGGTAAAATTACGTTATCTTCGTCCCAGACACCTTTTGAGGTAGACAGAGAGTATCAAGTACTAATATTTTTATGAGGGTGTCGCCATCTATTGTCAAGAGTTTCTAGACCACATTTGTTGGTGTATAACATACGAAAACGACTGACATAGCCCACAGGACGTCAGCTTTACGCGCCTTTTAAAGCAAGAAGCAATCAACAATTATTTTTAAATGATCTAAACATTATTTTAAAAATTCAGAAGTTTGGGCTGTAAACTTAAGCGGGATTGGACTAGTCACATTATATGTATGAGTTTTTTTTTTATGGGTGTAAATGGAACAGTAGACCCACTTGTGCTGTCGGTATACGCTGGCGGAGAACCAATGAAATGAAATAATGGACAAAAAAAAAAAGATAAGAATGAAAGCCAATCAGTTAGGTCATCTTAACGAATTAACGAACCGCGTAGAGGTCAACCTAGTCAAATTACTCGCTATTACTGCATTTGAGTTTTGTAAATTATAAATGAATTAAATATGATTTTCTTCCTTGTCTATAATTTTAGTATTTAAATCTAAAAACAGTGGATCGAAGCCGCCTCATACTTTAAAAATTTTGCCTATCTAGCAAATCAATTGACCAGCCTTGTATGTTACTAGCAAATCAAAATAACGGCTTTATTTTAAGGATAACTATTTTCGATATGAACATATTTCACTATTGTTTGCTAAATATGACAAGTGAGAAAAAACATTAATTTCAGTTTTGCTTTAAAAAGCTTAAAGCGGTGTTTCCCAACGTGGGGCCCACGTCCCACAGGGGGGCAATTTGATAGTTAAGGGAGGCAATTAAAAAATGGACTCGAAGCGATTTTAACACTCTTGCTACGACAAAATGCTACGAGTAGACATCGGTGCCAAATTTAACAAAAAAAGTAAATTAAAAAATGTTGTAAATAATTATTAGGTATAATTTCGTTTGACATTCCTAAAATATCAACTAGGACATTAGAGTCGTCAAGTAAACTTTGTCGGGAAAAATAATGTATGAGGGCATAAACATTTTAGAAATGTTCAAGTAGGGCATGGCACAAAAAAGGTTGGAAAATACTGGCTTAAAGTATCCACCAACAAAAGAAAGTCTTTCTTTGAACCTAAAACTTTAAAACGACAACGGTTTTTACAGCGGTTTTCTGTACCATTCAGATAATTTCTCGAGGGACGTTGCAAGACATTAAAGAAATAGCCAAGTATCTTAATTAAGCCAGAAAGAATACTTTTCGGGCAATTACATACGAATATTGAGCTCAAAGTTAGCCAGAGCAGACTATTATACCACAATAACTAAAATGTAATAAAAAAAAAATCCTACACAATCAAACCAAACGTCTAATTTTCAAGCTTTGACACACTGTGTTATGAGAGAACAGGTAACGAACAAAACGAGCGAGTAAACGAGCATAATTCAAAACATTCTTACAGTCCCGAATCAATTCATAAAAAATCACTTTCTAAATTGGATGTATTTGCCAATGTAAAGTAATACCACAGAATACACTATTTGTATAATACCACGATCATTATATTTAAATCAAATTAATTTAAAATATGAAAATAATAACATGTGGTCCCGGCATAGAATAGGCCACTCCTTCCTTTCCCATGTATGTCATAAGAATCGATTAAGAGAGGGCGAAGGATGGGCAACAGCATCCTTCTTTAAAGCCTAACTGCGGTTGCCAACCCGCCTGCCAAGCGTAGCAACTACTGGCAAAACCCCCTAAGGGGGAGCCTTATGTTCAGCAGTGGACAGTTAAAGGCTGATATGATGATGATGATGAATTTATATCAAATAATTTTTTACCAATTATTGTACTAAATATTTTTAATAGTTCTATAATATTGTATTTAAAGAAATAAATGTTTAAAATAAAAATTGCTTCAAAAATGTGTAATTTTATTGTTTTTTTTTTTTCTTATATTTTTTATATTACTGAGGCATGGCATTGGCATACACGCATGCGGCCCACTTGATGGTAAGCGATTATCGTTGCCTAAAAACGACTACAATACCGGAGGCATTACGCGCGTGTTGCCGGCCAATTAATGTTATTTATCCAGACGCAACACAAAACAAATGTTATTGTTTTTTTCTCTTTTTCCTTATCAATCTATCAGCATAATATTTGATTAATAGATAATACTACCAGACATTTAGTTACCAGATATTATATGCAAAAAATAAATAAATAAATCCCAATATTAGTCAACAAAATATTGAACAACTAAATCAAAAGTTCCACTTTGATAATTAATTTCTGAAAAGTGTTTTTGAAATTAAGAAACCGATTCTTTACTTGGACCAGTAAAAAAATATGATACTCAGCAATCGTCGATTGCTTAATATTAATTCTATTTTCCTGTTCGAAGACTTTTAGTGCCCTAACGTTATTCCAGTTCAAGACGCTCTCCGAGCCGTTCGTATTTGTTTTAAAATAATCGTGTCCTAGATAGTTCTTTTTTTTTTTTGATAATTAAAAGTGCATTACAAGATGAAAATGTTTATATTGCAGTTATACTTTATAGGTAAATATTAAAATTTTCATATATAAAAATTGCAAAATGACAATTATGATATGTATATAGTTTTTTTTTTTTTTAACAGCAACTATTTATTTAGTCAACTGAATACTTTAAAGTTATGTTAAATATTTTAGTGCCATTTTTTTTTTATTTAGTGACAATAGCACGGGTTGAATCTATTATATATTAAAAAGATATTTGTTTTATTTATTTATTTAAATTTTAATGCATAGTGAAATATTATGTATATTAGGTGGACTTAACATCTGACGGTGTTTTCTACCAGTCAACTATTGGGCAAATCGAGAAATAAGTAGGCAGTTCATTATAGAATAGAGAAAATATAAAGTAATAATTAATATATTTATATATTATAAATATTAAATTGGACTATTATAAATTTACACATAATATGTATATAATATATAATATTTATTTATTTATTTACTCTTTATTCCACTACTTAAAGAATAATACAATAATAAAAACATATACACTTATGAAGTACAAAAGCTTATTGCTAAATTCCAGACAACTGTTATATAAATGTATAAAATATGTTAAATAAATAAATATATGTTATATATTATATTGAAAATACGACAAAATCTTGGCATTAATATCAACTATTTATGTATTGCTCTGATTGCTGTGCCCTTCCAGGGTTCATGTTGATTTTTTACTTTTAAAAATTTAAGACCTATATTGTTACAACATGAAATAGCAATAAATGATTGAATTGAATTGAATATTCTTTTTTATCACCTAATATATGTATATAATAATATTATATATAAATGTGGGAGTTTTTTTTTAGTAATTTTTGACGTTTCGTCATAAAGTTTGACATATACATACTATTTGGTTCTTGAGTGGCGATTCCATACCTAGAGATGAACGCGATATAGAACGACCCCTATTATATAAAGTGACGACCACAAATGAATTGTAAGGGGTCAGTGAGTTCCGGTACCTAGGAAGTGTTTCTTATAGCAATCCTTAGAGGAGGCCTATGGTCAACAGAGGACAGTTCCAGCTGAGGTGATGATGATGAAAATGGCGTACTATATTAATGAATGAATAAATATTAAACCAATTAAACTAACTAACATATTATAATATATAATAACTAATTTTCCGCTAGAAAGAAAATCATTTTCATCATTTATCTATCAAGTTAATTTTTTTTATATTCAGTCTATGTTACTAATTTTATAAATTTGAAAGCGAGTATGTTTGTTACCTCTTGGAACCTTAAAGGCTTTATCACTCACTACAAAATTGGTATACAGAAGTGGGAAGTGGAGTAGTGAGGATGGAGAAAAACATAAACTACTCTGTGTTTCAATCAATGAAATTGTCTCGATCACGCGGCCGGAGTCACCAGTAAATACTAGTACTATATACATATATAAATTTTTAATTATATTATTAATAATATGGATAACTTGATAGTTTTTATACGCAGTATTGTATGATGGGTGTATATTTATTTCTTCTCCATCCTAAATTCAAATTGTAGTCAAATACATTTGTTTACAACCACTTTGAAATCGTAATTTTTTAAAATGGTTTTGCAGGAAGTATAACTAATATGTGTATATCAAATAATAAATAACAAACAAACTCACTTTCATATATATATATATATATATATATATATATATATATATATAAATATATATATATATATATATATATATATATATATAATATATATATATATATATATAATACTATTTATTTAAACTATTGGACGATAAAATGTATTACAAAAAGCGGACTTATTGCTACTGCTACTGCGGTTTAAAAAGAAATAAGTTATATATATTTTAGTGTAAGAAGGTAAATTACATACATACAAATATTCATAAAATAAACATACATATTAATATAGTATTTATATATATAATACATACATGTACATATACATATGATGAGCCTATTTAATTATTTGTATTGATTTAGAGAATTCAATAGATGGGATTTTTCTTTAAGGCAAATATATTGAGAGAGCACATATGCTTTTGGGCAATAATACTCGTATTGCTAAGTATTTTAGATTTATACTGTGAAAAGTAGCTACTTCAATTATAACAAAATCAATATTAGATTTACAAATCAATACGGTGTGAAACATACCAATTAGCAAATAAATTATTTTAAGATATTACAACATTTCGCTGTATGAATCATTGTGTATTTAATTGACGTGTTCCATTTAATAATAACAGTTTCAGACTTCTAATAAATTGGTTATTACTACCTAATTAGATAAACAATCCATTGTTTATTTCTTAAAACCTGTTTTTGGATTTCATTTTATTGGACGTCGAAATCCTGTTGAAGATTTGCATACCTACTGACGGAACTTCTTGTGTGGTAACAATTGCGAGTATGCAAATAAAATTAATAGCATTCCTTAGAATATACCAAGTTTTAATGGTTAAAAAAGGATCTACTTTATTATTTTTAAAATTTATGATCTTCGTTCAAGGATGTCTACATACAGGCACAACTGCAATAAGAAGGAACTTCTCAGATCGTGTTTTGTTCTTTTTTCGCCAATTCTAAGTCCCTTAGCTAAAGACTAATTGTTTTAAATGTTAATGGATTTTAATAGTCAAGAAGCTACCAGAGGGAGACTTTGTACAAAAGTCGATTGCTTGGGTACCTCTGTCCCATTCGTGTTTCAATCGTAAAGCAGTTGTGTTTACATGGCTGTGTTTCGGGTCGAAGGGTGGGATATGGCGTGAATTTACTGGGTACAGAGGAATAACATCTGAGTCCTCAGGAATGGCAACACATGGGGGTATCATAGGCGAAACAGTATACTCTGTTATGTCCATGGTACTGCTCATGTCTATAGGCGACAGTTATTACTTTCCATCAGGTGGGCCGTCAGCTTGTTTGCCATTCTAAGTCGTATAAAAAAAAACCTACTTTTTCCTCTGTTCTCCCAATGGTTGACTTGTAGAAAACACCGTCCGGTGTTAAGTCCGCTAAATGTACGTAGAATTTTACTATGCATTAAAGTTTGAATTATTAAATAAATATGTTGTCAATAAAATAAATAAATATCATATGTATCCCTATCATGATATTGTTTGCAGCTTAAGTCGGATTTATTACGGAATCTTACAGGAAAATTGTCTTTAAACAGGTAAACATCGTAAGAAATCATTAAAAGAATCAACAAAAAGATTAATCGACTACCTATTGTAAATGTTTTCGGTATAACCTTAGAAAACACGTATAACATATACCTGCCGGGATTTTTTTAATGATATTTAGTATTTGCATCTTAGTATATTCTATTTTTTTTTTTATACTTATTGTTGTATTTCGAATCTCATTTGTTCTGTATATAATAGTTAATAATGGAAACTTTATTGGTTAATATTTATTTACTATCTGTTAATTGTATTGTTTGTTTCCCAAACAAGCATAAAATAAAATAAATAAAATATTTGAATTGGTAAACGGGCTAACAGCCCACGAGAGATGGGAAAGGGATTGTTAGTGACGGAGACAGAATCCCGATGCTAGCAATATACCCAACCAGGTCGACCTTGTCGCGGTTCCCCCTGGAAACTATCATGGTTAATTCCTGATGAATCCATCATGATAGGCTAACTGGCCTATTTGCATTCTCATCTATTACCCTTCACTGGTGCTCCGCCAGCGTATTTCGTTAGCGCAAGCGGTGTTACCATTCGATTTTCACCCATCAAAAAAAAACAGCCCACGTGATGGTAAGTGATAACCATCAGAGGTATGAGTAAACCTATAAATAAAAACAGTATTAGAGACATCACAAAATACACTGTGACGCCCATGGAACCCTTCATTTGTTGCTATTCCTAAGGACTGTGTTGTTATGCCTCCATTAGTTCTTTCGTAGTTTCACTATCATGTAAGTTGAAATACATCTATGTACCCACAGTTGCTTCACGATAGAAACATGAATGGAACAAAAATACCCATCCAGAGATATTTCTGTACAATATCTAAATAATTTTTTTATAAGACACAAGCATCTAGATTCAATTCTATATCAGCTTACAAGGAATTCTATTCACACGTGCTTGACCCATACTTGACCGGTTTTTTCTGGTACTCAATGACTCCGGACTATGTGCAATATGTTTTAAGTTTTTTATTATAATATAAGTCAACGAACTTAAGATTTGGATACCTCTGATCAGTAAACAAATACGTGAGACGGAAAACTTGTCTAAGTTTTCTAGAGTCAACATATATATGGCGACTAGGTTTTAAATAAACCCACATAGACTATCAACGATTGCTGGCTCCTCTGTCATACTCGTGAACGGGTGCTTCTAGTAGAGACTGGTCTGTCTGGAATGTGATTAATTGTAATTTATTATTTAAATGTAAATTTATTAAATTTCAATATGAAGTTTGTGATTGTAAAATAAAATTTTTAAAAACTTTTATACGTACTTTCCGGACAAACCTCGTATATGGCGACTAGGTTTTAAATAAACCCACATAGACTATCAACGATTGCTGGCTCCTCTGTCATACTCGTGAACGGGTGCTTCTAGTAGAGACTGGTCTGTCTGGAATGTGATTAATTAATGTAAATTTACTTTTAAATTTCAATATACTTATTCACAGTATTTTCTGTAAAGACAATTTTTATTTGAAAAAAAAAAACAGCTGAGTTTCTTTTTCGTTTTTTTTTAGATAAAACTGACATTCCGAACTAGGCGGTAGTTTAAAAAAAATAAGTATACGAAAATGTAGTTAAGTATATTTAAATCATATTTTATTTTTACTGATTTAAAATGACTCTGAAATATCAAAGATACCTTCTTAATTTTCCAATATACACAAGTAAAGAGACAAGCTTTTGGTATTTAAATTATACTAGTATTTTTCGTAAATTAATACAAAATACTATATATACTCGTAAATTAATGCAGTTTTACTCGGATGAACTAGAGAATATCAATATTATGGATTAGCAACCGAGCACTTTAATAATTTGAAATAAATGTTAAAGATTCTACCATGGAACTAGAATCTAAAGAATGATTAAAAAGGTCGAGAATTCAGATCCAATCAACCTATATTTCAATTAAGTACAAGAACATCAATAAGCTTGTTTCTAACTTTTCAGTTGCTGCCGTACAATGTATACAAACGACAAAAGAAAAAGATGCCAGACACAAACGTGTAAGTATTAATTCTATAATATATAAAAAAGGTATAGCATAATCTGTTGAGGCCAGAAGTATAAAACTGGTATAGTATTTTTATTTTTGGATTGTGTAATTTCAGTGGAATGTATTTTGTTTAATTATTATTTAAACACATATCGGTTGGGGGCCTGGTGATCTGTACTACAGGTCTGAACCTATTACAGGCACCAGCTCCTCACAGCAGAGTTCCATATTATTTTAATTTTATTGTATCCTAAATACCTATGTGTTAATTTAAGTTGTTTGTGAGGAGACATAAACATTATTATTATTATATTAACATTGATGAGAATGGAGAGAGAGAGTGAGACAGAGAGAGAAATTAATCACCTTGTATTATATAATGCCCATGTCTATAAGAACGGTTAGCATTTTCCATTATTTTTCCGTTAGCATTTCATAGCATTAACCATTCCAAATTACATATTATAGAATTTGTTTTTTTTATACTAATATAGTAGCAACAAGCATACGGACTGTCTGATAGGATATAGGGTTACCGTATCTTATAGACGCCTATAACTATTCTGTATTTAATAGTACAATAAAAGTTCATTGAACTATGGTATGATATAAAGATGGTGTCACCTCTTCGTGCCCTCTACAAGACCTCAGCCTTCTAAGTAAGACTTAAGTCTGATCATTCAAAATAAAAACCGGTCAAAATTATGTATTTTTCACATACACAAACACAATACGTTTTTATACGAAATCCATATAAATATTATTTTTTATACAACTTAGAATGGCAAACAAGCTGACGGCCCACCTGATGGAAAGTGGTAACCGTCGCCTATAGACATGAGCAATACCGTGGACATAACAGAGTATACTGTTTCGCTCATGATACCCCCCATGCGTTGCCATTCCTGAGGACTCAGGTGTTATTCCTCTGTACCCTGTAAATTCACGCCATATCCCACTCTTCAAACCGAAACAGCCATGCAAACACAACTGATTTACGGTTGAAACACGAATGGGACAGAGGTACCCAAGCAAACGAATTTTGTACAAAGTCTCCATCTGGTTCGTGATAAGCTCGTCTAGTGTGGCCTTTACTTATATCTTTATTTATACGTGCTCAATAAATCTCTTTCGTAATCCTCTCTTTCATCCATCCTTTCCAAATGGTCAAACCAACGCAACATACGCTTTTAAATTTTTGTCACTTCATTTTCAGTCCACACTTCTCTATAATCACACAATTTCTCACTTTTACAATGTATTTTTATATATAGTATGTAGTGAATTTCAATGCCACACATACTTCTCAGTGTTCTCATCTCTACAGCATTTTTCCCACTTTCATACTTCTATAAGCGGCGCGCTAAAGAAGCCAAATTAAAAGAATCCGTAACCGGTAAACGTGTCTGAAAAGATTGGTGACTGTATATAAAGTAGACGAAAGAGGTTTGAATCGAAGCATTTGGCGTTACATTGTTCCTGCCTACCTTAATGGAAGACAGGCGTGACAAATACATTTCAATAAATACACATAAAATTAACAAAGCTCTAAAATAACTAACATTGAATTTCTTGTACTTCCATCTCAACAGATAATATTTCGAAAATAAAATAAAATAGTACATTACTGCAGCGGCCAGCAACTGAGGCATTGATGGACGAATGTGCAAATGTGGAACGAGGCGTCGCCGAGGAAATGCTCACATTTCCAAGGATGTTTGAGAAAACAGTTTTAAAGAGCTTTTGTATATTTACAATTTTTACTTTGACTATAAAATATCCACAAGTGTGGTGTAGCTCGAGTAGGTCACAATAAATGTGACATATTTATTATCTTGTTTCAGCAACGCGAGGGGTGGAATTGGAGTTACGTTGATTCACTGCAGACATCGCCTAATGTAAGTAAAAATGTGTTAAAATAATATAGTTTTTTAGTAAGTTACCAGCTACAAATGTATCATACACTATGTATACGAGAAATCTTTGTTTAAGTCGAACCGATAAACAAAAAAGAGGGAGACTTTGTTCACCAGAGGGAGACTTTGTACAAAAGTCGGTTGCTTGGTTACCTCTATCCCACTCGTGTTTCAGTCGTGAAGCAGTTGTGTTTGCATGGCTGTGTTTCAGTTTGAAGGGTCGGATATGGCGTGAATTTACTGGGTACAGAGGAATAACACCTGAGTCCCCAGGAATGGCAATACATGGGGGGTATCATGAGCGAAACAGTATACTCTGTTATGTCCATGGTACTGCTCATGTCTATAGGCGACGGTTACCACTTTCCATCAGGTGGGCTGTCTGCTTGTTTGCCATTCTTAGTTATATAAAAATAGAAAAACAAGAATGAGCATGCTGTAAATGTCTTATATTATACATCTATGTAAATAAACAAGTAAAAAAGAAAGCAAAAATTCTTTAACCATGTGGTTCCGGCATAGAATGGGTCATCCCTTCCTTTCCCATGGATTTCGTAAGAGGCGACTAAGAAAACTAAATAGTCAAGAGATGGGCCGCAGCGTCCCTCTTAAAACATCAATAAAGCCTAACTGCGATTACCAACTCGCCTGCCAAACGTGGCAACTACTGGCAAAATCCTTCTTATGGGGATACCTATATTAGCTAATATGATGATGCTGATGGTAAATTCTTCGATGTGCATTTTTTTTTATAATTTATTTATTTATTTATTTATTACTATGTCCAAAAGCAGCAACCTATATATAATTTTATTTATCCACGTTCCGTCGTTGAGGATACACGACCGAAGATCGATCATTAAGATTCTAATTCCACCATTATATTTATTACAGACAAATGTTAATCAACGACAATTATCAAAACTAACAGCTACAACTCTACCTCCTAATCCTTGCCTTGATCCACCACCTGTCCAACCAGACTTCACCGCTCCGGGCCGCAGAATAAGTGTAACAAGTAAATTTGCCTTTTTTATTGTTAGCTAAAAATATTATCTAAGGTTAAAATCTTTTTTTTTTTTTACTTAATATTTTAGCAATAGTGACAGCATTTTCTTAAGAATTGATCATTGAAAAACAAAACATAAATTATGTTAGGCAATAGTACATAATGGCATAATACAATGTGTTAACGTAAAAATCTTTTTGATTTGACATCTTTATTTATTTTATATATTATCATTTTAAAAAATTAAATGTATTATGATCAATTGAACTAAATATAAAAATGAGATTTAGATGTATTGAAACATATAATATTGCGTATACAGCTAGCGAACTAAAACGTCGATCATTGAATAATTAAACTGGCACTGAACATTAGATTCTGATAGCAAAATGCACTTATTTAAAAATTCTAAAACAAATATTGAATAGGTGCAGTTTTTGCTAGTAGATTAATATACTACATATTCTATAGTTAGCGATTTAGTACGCTAGAAGAACACTTTTTAATTAAACAATCGGAAACATTGAGAAATATTCAATTATTTTTGAAAATTAACAAATAACTGCAATGTTGCCATATTTCGCTATACTATTATTATGAGGGCTCTTAATATTAGATTGGTAATTTTATTTTATTTATATATTTTTTAAATTTTAACTTCGCAGAATGCTACGAATATATTTGGCAGTTAAAAGATGGAGTGGATAAAATTAAAAGAGATAAAATATGTAAGTACAATATGTAACACAATTTTATTCAGGCAAATGTTACTATTTACATATATATATATATATATATATATATATATATATATATATATATATATATATATATATATATATATATATAACCTATAAATACCTACAGCCTATTATATAAATATCAAACTAGTATAAGCTTACGCTATATATATGGCAATTAACGGTGTACATATTTTTAAAACAATATTTTAATAAAATATTTTAAAACAATTATAAAGCTTTTTATAGTAAATATAATGTGAATTGTATCACTTTAACTGTGCCCAAACAAATAAACAAAGCAACGGAAGAAAAAGACCGTTTTATATCGAGTTTATTATGTGGCAAAAGAAATGGCAAATAAATCAAGTAGTGAAGGTAACTTCTTATAGCGTAACATAACCAATATCACAGATAATGTAATACTATAGCCAATATAATGGGAAAAAAGGCTACCCCTTCCTTTCCTGTAGATGTCGTAGAAGGCGACTAAGGGATGGTCGAGGGAAGGTTAGCAGAGTCCCTTCTAAAATTCACCAAAGCCTAACTGCAGTTGCCAACCCGCCTGCCAAACGTGGTAACCACTGACAGATCGCCCCAATAAGGGGAGACCTATGTTCAGCAGTGGACAGTTAACAACTCATATAGTATGGCATGGTGATCAAACAATGTAATTATTTTATGATATTACCTAATATTACCTACTTAATATGTTCTCGCTTTGAATTTTTTTTTTATTCAACTTAGAATGACAAACAAGCTGACGACCCACCTGATGGAAAGTGGTAACCGTCGCCTATAGACATGAGCAGTACCATGGACATAACAGAGTATACTGTTTCACCCATGATACCCTCCATGCGTTGCCATTCTTGAGGACTCAGGTGTTATTCCTCTGTACCCAGTAAATTCACGCCATATCCCACTCTTCAAATCGAAACGCAGCCATGCAAACACAACTGGTTTACGGTTGAAACACGAATGGGACAGAGGTACCCAAGCAATCGACTTTTGTACAAAGTCTTCCTCTGGTGAATTCTTATGTTAATAATTCATTTACAGGTTATGATTATCAATCAAAATATTTGGGCATACGATTCGTCATCAGTGGTCGGTTTACACAACACGGGGAATTTCCTCATATGGTAATTTTTTTAATATTAATTTAAGACTAATTTAAATGTCATAATTGAAATTACTACATTTTTACAATGCAAATTTTTAAATTATTGTTTTACTTTTTTAACATAAATTACATATATACATAATACATATTGTTTACGAATTAAACATATTTTTCTGAACTAGGTGTTATCCTGCGGAAGTTAATATCACTAGTTATTTGATTATAAATATTTCGTTTAATTCCACTACCATTAGTGTGACTGCCAACACTCGAAGACTGACCACCACTATTACTACCAGAAATACCTTCCATATTAGCCATCAATCTCCAACTACCATTTTATTCACGCACGTTTTGCGACACGTGTTACGGCTCTAAACGAGGCTAATTCCAGATGAATTCATCACAATGGACTAATTCACCTGTTTCCATCCTCATCTATCATCCCTCACTGGTGCCACCGCCAGCGTATAACGTTAGCGCAAGTAGGGTTACCATTCCATTATCATCAATTTAAAAAAAAGTTGGAGCCTAGTGTACTGTTCAGCACCTAAACTGCAACGTTGGCAGTCGGAGATTATTAGCTAGTATGCAAGGTTGTGGAAATTCTAGTCTAACAGTGATGGTCAATCTTCAAATGTTGACAGTGGCACACGGTATTTCCGAACCGATACGACAACATAACCTTCAAGAAAAAAGTATATTCCTTTTTAACAAGCCGGCAGCACACCTGCAATGCCGCTGGTGTTGCGGGTGATCATGGGCGGCGGTAGTCACTTACCATCAGGTGAGCTGCATGCTCGTTTGCCCCCTGTGTTGTAAAAAAAACGCTAATGGTAGTGGAATTAAACAAAATAATTTTAATTAAATAATTAGGCATTCATACTACATATTAAATAATAAGTAAAACATTTCCTAACATTATAGCACCAGTTTCACCTTGTTATATGTTAAATATTCAATATATTTTTAACTAACTATATTTTGCGGCTCCGCCTCCTAGAATCAGTACATAAAGTATCCTATATGCTAAGTTAGGATCTAACCTACCCGTATATACCAAATGTCATTCAAATACACTAAATAGTTTGATAACGTTTTTTTTTATGCAACTTAGAATGGCAAACAATCTGACGGCCCACCTGATGGAAAGTGGTAACCATCGCCTATAGACATGAGCAGTACCATGGATATAACAAAATATACTATTTCGCCCATGCCCCCATACCTGAGGACTCAGGTGTTAGTCCTCTGTACACTGTTAATTTACTGCCATATCCCACCCTTCAAACTGAAACACAACTGTTTCACGGTAGAAACACGAATGGGACAAAGGTGGCCAAGCAAACGACTTTTGTACAAAGTCTCCCTCTGGTAACGTGAAACAGTAACAAATATCTATTCTTACTACGAGTAACTTTCGTATTTATTTCATTAATAAGATTAATCGAATGCCTTTTCCTCACCAGGGCGCTATAGGCTGGAGGAGCGTCACCGATACGTGGTTATTCAACTGCGGGAGCACCCTCATTAGCCCCAAGTTTGTACTAACCGCCGGTCACTGTACAAAAGCATCCCCCAGAGATTCCAGAATTGCGGACGTAGTTCCAAAGATCATAAGATTTGGTGTTAAGAATCTTGTTAATGACAAGGTAAGTAAGTTTGCCCGGTAAAAAAAGAAATTATTAGCTATGGCTCTTAAGAAATGTAGTACTAAAAATGCTATCTCGTTTAGTCGGTATTCTTGCTCATGCATGGTTTTAGCTTACAATGCAGCCTTAGAGCTTCAACTCAGAAGTCTGCTTGACAATTTTTTTAATGATTGATCTACGTTCTTGATTTATATGTAAATAAATCAAGAAACCGATTAAAGTCAAGCTTTGCATCGATAAACCACAAAAATCATTAATTCGAATTTGGCCGAGACTAAAAAACGAATTATGGGAGAGACTTATGTTCAGCAGTGGACAGTTCATCATCATATTGATGACGCCGATTATAAAATATTTAACAGCTATTACATATTATTAAATTAATAATGCTATAATAAAAATATTGTTTCTCACAGAATATACCTACAGACCGAAATATATCTAGAATCATACCACATCCACAATACAAGCCTCCGAAGCAATATTTTGATATAGCGTTAATGGAATTGGTGAAAGAAGTAACATTTAGTAAAGAGATACAACCAGCATGTCTGTGGAGTAAAAACGATGATAGTTACGGAGCTGTGGCTACTGTCACTGGATGGGGCGTATTTAAAAACGGTAAATAACATTTTTTTTATACTACTACGATGGCAATTAAGGCATATGGCTCGTCTGATGGTAAACAGTCACTGTAGCCTATGGATGCCTGTAATATCAAGGGTGACATGAGTGCGTAGCCGGATTTTAAGAAACCTTAATATAATCTTCTTGACGAACCTCATGATGTAATCGCTAAGGTAAACTTCAGAGGAAATATTATTCCACGACCTAAGTGTAATTTGTCTTCATGTCACTAAAGAAAAAATACTTATAGGTAATCTAAGACTGTAATATTTCTGGATTAAATATTTCTAACATACATATATACCAGAGGAAGACTTTGTACAAAAGTCTTTTGCTTGTGTACCTCTGTCCTATTCGTATTTCAACCGTAAAGCAGTTGTGTTTGCATGGCTGTGTTTCGGTTTGAAGGGTGGGATATGGCGTGAATTTACTGGGTACAGAGGAATAACACCTGAGTCCTCAGGAATGGCAACGCATGGTATAGTCTGTTATGTCCACGGTACTGCTCAAGTATATAGGCGACGGTTACCACTTTCCATCAGGTGGGCCGTCAGCTTGTTTACCATTCTAAGTTGTATAAAAAAAAATTGTTTTTATCTATCCATAACAACGTTGCCCTATTAGGCACAGATCTAAGTAGATACAAAACTAATATTAGCGTAATATTAATTAAATATATTCCTCTAAAGACATCTTAAATTTTTATTTTATTTTTTTCTATAACAGATACATAGATATTCTTTATTGTCTTATCCAAAGGATTACAGTAGTAAAATTTTATAGATACAATTAATTACAAGAAATGTTCACATTGAGGAAACAATGGTCAGCCTTATAGCTAAAAGCGATCTCTTTCAGGCAACTTTTGGATGGAGGGAAGTAATTATAAACCGTTTGATTGGAGGCACGATAATTTAATATTTTTAGGTAATCGCAACACATCGGATGAATTACAAGCCGGTGATATATACATCGTAGATACCTTTGATTGCGATCTGTTCTTGATGTCTTCATCCAACAGGCACTGGGATGGAATAAAAAATCATCAACTCTGCGCTGGAAAATTGGAAGGCGGTGTTGATGCCTGTCAGGTATTGATTTTTCTTTTTATGAAACTGTTTTCTTTTTGTAATTCTTGCTAATATAATTTTTAATGTAAAAATACTCGGATTGATTTAAGTTGAGAAAACAAATATGGAAAGACAACCCAATATTCTTGTCTTGACTTGATCATGTCAGTCATCTGTCCATTGTTGAACGTAAACTTGGAGGTTTAAGCTTGTAGTTGCCACGTTTAGCAGGCGAGTTGGTAATCGCAGTTAAGCTTTTAGAGATGTTTTAAGAGCGACGCTGCTGACAATCCCTCTATCATTGAGTCCCTTTAGTCACCTCTTACGACACATTCAAAAAAATTGAGTACTTATCTTTATTTTTGCATCGATATTCTTGTTCAAATGTGTTCAATGATAATATTGCCTTATCATCAAATAACCAAACCACCAAACCAGTTTAATAACAAGTTATTAAACTTTAATATTTTGCTAACAAACCCATACTAAGAAAAACTGCAACTTTCTGCAACATCTCGCCAACTATCTCATATCATAATCTACATGATCGCGAATTTAAATTATTACGTAGTTCTAATTATATTTCTTACTTTGTTTAAATTGCAGGGTGACTCAGGAGGACCTCTGCAAGTAAAGATTCCATTCCCAGAGCAATATGAGACTATTGAAGGTACCATGCACTATGTCGTCGGAATCACATCGTTCGGTGTCGGCTGCGCACTGCCAAACTTGCCCGGGGTCTACACTAGGGTATCTAGTTTTATTGACTGGATCGAAAACATTGTTTGGGTGAATCAATAAATGGTGTATTTTAAAAATTTCGTTTTATTTTAATGCACGATGCACTTTATTGGTTTCTTTATTTAAAAAATGTTTTGAACATCAATTTCCCATAAATTACTTCTTTTGCTTTTTTATGTTTTGTAAATATATTTTATAGTTATATTCCTTTCTAAGACACCGTTTTATCATACCAGCCTACTGTCTTTTCTCCCATATTTATTTTCTTTAAAGAGTTTAGAAAGGCATAGGTGTAACATAGTTCTTAATTTAAATCTTCTTAATTTGTATGTAAGCAGTATTCATTTATGTATTTGTTTATATGCACGTATATATAGATAGACAGATATTGCATCTCCATATTTAAAAATAATAGAATTTTCATTATGGGTTCGATCAAAAACTTTATAATTACTCCTCTCCATCCAAAGGTTGCCTAGAAGAGATAGCTTTTAGCGATAAGGCCATCCATTGTTTTCTCACTGTAATGATTTCTTATAACTATTTGTATCTATAAATAAGTTTGCTATTGTAATCTTTTGGAGGAAACAATAAAGAGTATTGATTTATATATCTAATTTCTTATCTTATGAAATGTTGTGACCGCTATGAACAACACCATAGATGTTACAGAACTACTACTCGTATTACACTCCCTTACTTATATTATCTATCACAGCTTGTGTCTTACTGGTACATTGTCAATACTAAAGTTTATAGTGTTAGAGCCTTAAACAGCTATGCAAACATAACAGCTTGACAGCAAAAAAAATGAGTGCGACGAGATACCTGCCCGTGTAGACGACTTTTGCCAAAGTCTATTTTGGGTCTTTAATTATAAACTCCTATATTTTAATCAGCAACAAAAATAGATTCTGAAATAAAATGAGTTTATTTGCAATAAACAATTAAAATTATTAATTAAGTTCACGTAGTATTAAGTTTGGCAAGTATTTAAATGCCTTAAGCGATGTAGGCATGCAAATATTTATATTTTATAAAATAACCATAAAATAAAATTATGTGTATCATAATTATTAATTCTTTAATTAATTTCATGTCATAATTTAAATGACATGAAATTAATTATTTAATTTTATGTCATTTAAAGTATCATTACATTTTTATTTAATTACTGAATAAGGATAAATCTATAGTAGTACTCGTATCTTCATTTTGCGAATGTAAACAATGCACTCGTTCGAGGAGTGAGATTGATTTTTTTTTATATCTATTGCCACTACCCTAAAAAACGACTCGACCAATTTCAATGAAGGTTTTGAATTACATTTGCCTCAGAACAGTTTCTTAGATATATTTTACGATTATAGGGTACCAGGGTGCGTTGTAGTATAAGTGTTTCGTGAACTTTTATCACGACGATGTAGAGACATGTTCTTGTAATAAAACGTCATCCAACAATAAGTAAGAGATGTAGTTAAACTATTTCCATGTATGTAAATTAGAGGACTTTGTTTTCTGAACTTTGTTTATGCAACTTAGAATGAAAAACAAACCGACGGCCCACCTGATGGAAAGTGGTAATCGTCGCATATAAACATGAGCAGTATCATGGACATAACAGAGTATACTGTTTCACCCATGTTACCTCCCATGCGTTGCCATTCCTGAAGACTCAGGTATTATTCCTCTATACCCTGTAACTTCACACTGACTTGAATAATAATCTAACTTGAGATATGTAATATTTTATCATTCCTAAATATCCGTAAGCAAGTACGTCTGGTAATATGTGAACTATAAGTTATAATGTTGTAATCATAAGTTTTTTTTGGTGGTAGAGCCACGCTGTAATACTATATGGTATTGCAGCATGAATGGGCCGGCTCGACCGGGGAAGTACCACACCCTCACAGAATACCGACGCTAAGTGGCCGCACTTTTAGTGCGACCACATTCCGTATGGTGAGTGAGGGAGTCCGGAGGCCCATCCTATACCCATCCCCTTCCTTATCCTAAAATCCTCCCCCAACTCCGTCCCCCCATCTTTCAATACCATGGCAGTGGAATTTAAAAAAAATAACGTACCCCAGGGAGGTACCAGCAGCCATGTTGCTGGAGAATCCTCCCTCGAGCAACCACGCTCGGGCTGCCCTGCGTATTCTGGGGGGGCAAAATTCCGCTCTATAACTTCTGCGGCATCCCCTTTGCTCAATGTGAGCCTCTGTAATATTAGGGGAATTCATTCAAACCTGAACGCTGTCCACCACCACCTAGAAACGGCGCGGCCGGCATCACGGAGACACAGATATCCCCTCCTAATGACCTACCCGGGGTATAAGCTTGAACATTGTTTTGTTTCGCGTGCCGGTGTATGTGCGTATGTCAGAGAGGATATCTGCTGTACCTGTCCATTCTATGGCTGCGCGTAGATTGCAATGACCATCCCCGCATCTATGCGTGCCTATACAGGTCCCACAGCGGTAACACTGAAACCGACCAACTAATTGAGCACGTCCAAATGGCTACAGATTCCCTGCTTGAGCAGATTCCTTCCGCTGAAGTCGTGATTGTTGGCGACTTTAATGCCCACCATGCCGAATGGCTTGGTTCGCGTACAACCGACTATGCGGGAAGATCTGTTCATGACTTTGCTTTGGCTTATGGTCTGACACAGCTTGTTTCCTCGCCTACGCGAATCCCTGATGTGTTGGACCATTCACCTTCACTGCTGGACCTTCTGCTGACCACCCACCCAGACAACTATGTGATCTCCGTCGAAGCCCCGCTTGGATCGTCGGATCACTGTTTGGTGCGGAGCGAAGTTCTCTTACGAGTCCGACTCCACCTCGTTCTACGGGTAGACGTCGCATTTGGCACTACAGGTCGGCAGATTGGGATGAGATGCGGATTTTTTCGCATCTTACCCATGGAGGCAGGTTTGCTTCACACTGGATGATCCCGACGCCATTGCCGATTCCATTGCTGATGTGGTGCTTCAGGGAATGGAATTATTTATTCCTAACTCTGTGGTGCCCGTCGGCGGGAAATCCCAGCCCTGGTATGGAGCCTCCTGTAGAACAGCATCTCGTCTGAAACAGGAGTGCTTCCTAACCTGGGCTAAAGGTGTGGCGTCGCGAGATCCTAACACCAGTGCTCTTAAAAAGAAGTATAACTCTGCCTCTAGGTCTTTCAAAAGAGTTATAGCCACAGCGAAGTCAGAGCATATTAGTAGAATTGGCAAGAGACTGGCTAGTTTGCCCTCTGGGACTCGAGCTTTCTGGTCTCTTGCCAAAGCTGCACAAGGGAATTTCTGTAAGTCATCCTTTCCACCTTTGCGCAGGGAGGATGACTCGTTGGCCCAGAACGCTAAAGAAAAGGCCGATCTTCTTGGATCCATCTTTGCGTCAAACTCGACATTGGATGACGGGGAGAAACCACCACCGACCATCACGTGTTGTAGGAGCTCTATGCCTGACATTAAATTCACGCATAGCTCAGTGCGTAGAGCACTTTTCTCCCTCGAAATCCATAAGTCGAGTGGGCCTGATGGTATTCCTCCAATTGTGCTTAGGACGTGCGCACCAGAGTTGGCTCCGGTTCTTACGCGTCTTTTTCGGCTTAGCTACTCATCGGGCATTGTCCCAAAGTTTTGGAAGACTGCTCTGGTGCATCCGATCCCTAAAAAGGGAGATCGCTCAGATCCAGCTAACTATAGGCCCATAGCTATCACTTCCTTATTCTCGAAGGTTATGGAATCCATCATTAACCGTCAACTGCTCCGGTACCTAGAAGAGCACCGGCTGATCTGTGATCGCCAGTATGGCTTTCGACAGGGACGTTCGGCCGGTGATCTTTTAGCTTACTTAACACACCGATGGGCAGTGGCAATCGAGAGTAAGGGAGAGGCCTTAGCAGTTAGTCTGGATATTGCGAAGGCCTTTGATCGGGTGTGGCATAGAGCGCTGCTTTCAAAGTTACCTTCATTTGGGTTGCCTGCGAGACTGTGCATTTGGGTCGCCAGTTTTCTCAAGGAACGTAGCATTAAGGTCGTAGTCGACGGTGCATCTGATTTAAAACCTTTGAATGCTGGTGTCCCGCAAGGCTGTGTACTATCTCCGACTCTGTTTCTTCTGCATATCAATGATATGTTACAGATAATAATATTCATTGCTATGCGGACGACAGTACAGGAGATACATTATATACCGGTCATGCAAAGATCTCGCGGGCACATACCGATGAGTGCCGGAATAGACTTGTGTCTGAAATCGAAACTTCACTCCATCAAGTTTCGATCTGGGGTGAACAAAATCTTGTCCAATTTAACCCCAAAAAGACACAAGTCTGCGCGTTTACCGCAAAAAAGACGCCGTTTGTCGTATCTCCTCACTTTCAGGGCACTTCCCTTGATAAAAAGTCAAGTCTAGGAATTCTGGGCGTTGATATATCTTGCGACGTCCAGTTTTGCGGTCATCTGGAGGAGAAGGCTAAGATAGCTTCCAAAAAGTTAGGAGTGCTCAATAGGGTGAGACGATATTTCATGCCAGAACACCGCCTGAAATTATATAAAGCCCAAGTCAGGCCGCATATGGAATACTGTTCTCACCTGTGGGCAGGAGCGCCACAGTACCAACTCCTTCCGTTAGACCGCATTCAAAGTCGGGCGGCTCGAATTATCGATAGTCAACGCCTTACTGTCCGACTTGACCCATTGAAACTGCGCAGAGATGTTGCGTCTCTGTGCATCTTCTACCGAATTTATCATGGGGAGTGTTCTGAGGAATTGTTCGGATTGATACCTGCTGCTGATTTTCACCACCGTACAACCCGCCACAAACTAAAGTTTCATCCCAATCATCTGGACGAGTGGCGGTCTTCCACCGTGCGTTTTTCAAGGCACTTTCTTCCACGCACAACCATTCTTTGGAATCAACTTCCAGCAGCAGTATTTCCGAACCGATACGACAACATAACCTTCAAGAAAAGAGTATATTCCTTTTTAAAAGGCCGGCAGCACACCTGCAATGCCGCTGGTGTTGTGGGTGATCATGGGCGGCGGTAGTCACTTACCATC